TCGATAGAACGTAATTTCCCGTGAAAAAATACGCGCGAGACGACGACGTGACAATTTCCACAAGATGATTCGAACACTGAGGTAATTAAATCTTCATTCACACAAGAGCCCCGTGAATAACGTGGCGTTAAAAAAATGAACGTGGCACTAGTGTCGCAAATTTAAATTTACGAACGTGGGCGAAATGTTAAGGTATTCTTATAACACACCGTGCACACCGTAACACACCGTGATGTCGACACGCTATTTCCGGCGAGACATTCACGCGCCACTAACGTTCCTCCACTTCCAGCGAGTTATCATCTAGTGCCGCCAGATATCACGGTTTGCCACGAGGAAAGTCAGACGCAAAGAAACGCGCGCGAGAGCCAACGCGATAAAGAGAAGCCCAAGAACCTTGGACGATGTAGAACGGCGGAAAGACGCCTGTTAATTTGCAAACACGGCGACGAATAATACCCTTCCTCGCTACCATCTTCGGTCAGCTCCAGAGAGTCTTCCTTTCGCAATCATCGCAAGCAGTTCCTTTCCCTCACCGCTACTCTCACTCTTCAGGAGGAACAAATGCGCACACCTTTTCTCAGCGCGTGGGAGGACTTCTTGCTTAATGACATGGCGAGACTCAGCTTCAGACGAAGGCGCATGCACTCTCAATCCCGCGATGCATGCAAATGCATCATTTCCCGGTAGGCGCACGTAACAAGCACGTTATAGAGTCGACGAAAGTGTCGTGATCGCGAATATTCGTGCGATATGCACGATGGGAAATTTCAGTAGAAAGTCCGACTGAGTGCATAGATAAATTGGGTTACATGTGAATTTTTAACGACGTTACATAGTATTATTTAGTACTTACAGTCGTAAAATCTTCAAAGCATAGGAAATATTCAATAATTAGATCACAGTTTCATCGAATGTTAACTGTTAATTTCACGCGATTGCAGGCTCATCTCATCGTCGCGAATACTCGCGTGATAAGCACAGACATTGCGGCAAGAAATTTCAGCAGAAGATTCCGGCGGAGCGCGTAGATAAATTGATTTGCACCATGAATTTTTCACGCGATGACATTTGGTACAGCAGTCGCATAATCATTGAAAGTAGGAGATATTTACTTAATAACTAATACAATTTCGTCGAATGTTAGCTATTAATTTCATGCGGGATTGAGCCCATTCCATTGCCGCGTTTGGCCGCAAGTCTCACGCGCAATTACCCGACGCGATTCGAAGCGCGCAGCAGTATCGCGGAATTTTGCGGGTTGGTCGATGACACTCTATTATTTAGTATTACGGCAAGGGTTAATAATTGTGGCCAGTATACATGGAAAGAGCCAGTGTCCAGGTAAATGCCGCATTGGCGTGCGACCTGGTAGCCTGGTCCCGTCAGGTATGTATCCACATTTCCCCCTTGCACTTTCCGCGCTTTCCATGCGGTGAGTCTCGCGCATTTGTTGACTTCGTCGCTCGCACGAACGTGGTTTGCACGCTCGTCATCGTGCACCGGCGCGCGGTTCCACCTGCGATCGATAGTCGACAGAGAACCGAAACGACTCCCTGTTTCACAGCATATATGCGCGGCCAATCTGACGTCACGACACGCGGGGGGCGCGCGCGGAGTGTAATCTCCGTTGAGGAATCTCAAATTTGTCAGGATCATCGAGGCTCTTCGCGGACCGTTCACGAAAGGGGGACAAGGGCAGGCGAGTCGAAACGCGGAGGAGCAGACGAATCTGCTTGTCATATTACGACCCGACCCGTTCGGATTTTAATTTTGCGAGCCATTTTACGATCTAGTTTAGATCAGAAAGCGACTCAGAAGAGAATAAATCCGTAATTAATTATATATATTTTTTTAATAATCGATTAAAATCCGCAGCATTCAAGGGTGATTGATTTTCTCGAGGAGATGACATCGGTGATTCGAGTTCAAGAGCGGTTTTCAATCGAATCTTATATTTAAGATCGGCTGTTTATATTCAGATACTCTGTGCAGACAACGAAACAATCCGTACATTATCTGAGGATGAACTTAAAAGCATTCTAAATATAAGATCCGACTATAAAAATATCACATATAAATCACGTACAAATAAACTGCGACATTTTTTTGGCTATGACAATCTTTTTTTACTCTCACATATTGTTCTCGCACAAAATTCTACGTTTTGTATAGCGCGAACTTAACCTGAGGAACGCTTCCGATATAATTTGAATTCTTTAGAAAGCGAAAGGAGAGCGCGTCGGAACGAAAGTCGCTGTGGAATATCTCAATTCTAAAGGAGGCTTATATAGGCAGAAGTTGGCTGGCGCTTTCAGGCAGGAATTAAAAGTATACTCGGCGCGACTCGGAGAGTCGCTCGGCGAGATCAAGGTCGACGGGACCGACCGCGAAGTTCTGCGGCTTTGTAAAAAACTGCGGCTAAACATGAAGAGGAGAAAGCGAGATGGAGATTGCGAGGAGATGTCCATCGAGTCCTTCGCAAAAATGTTAAATACCTCGACGGGAACTCTCGACCTGTCGCGCCGGACAGAGGGTTGCCCGACGCAGAGGGCAGACAGGTTCAAGATCGGTTTGATACGATCACGCGTTATTCCGCTCGATGACTCTCCAGAGCTCGTTTCGATCGAACAAAGTCGATCAAGTTGGAAAGGTTAAACGCGAATTATGCGGCGAGTGCGGCATTAAGAGTGACCTCGGCCTATGAGCCGCGTACAAAACTGTGCGCCTTCGTGTTCCACAGTGACGCATGATGGTGAAAACATGTCGTTAGCAGTGATTTTCATCATTAAAGTAGTATCCCGATACTTAGAGGCTTAATGATCACGCACAGCGGACCGTCTCTTTGTCTGCGATCTTGGATTTCGCCTCGGTTAGTGCGACATACTTTGCATTCACAGATGCCTTCGATTCAGATACTATCTGCTATAGAGAATTCAATCATCGCTCAATGAATACTTCAACTCCCGGAAGTCTGTTAATAGGCTTCTTTAAAAGTCATGATCTCTTGAGATCAGAGGTAGATGTCTATAAATTCGTTCTGTCTGCAAAATTGTAATACTTTCTATCGGCAGATAGAGCGTTAAAATAAATGACGTATAAGCTCTATTACCCGAAAATAATTATTTTAACGTTCCGTTGAGAGAGAGAGAGAGAAAGAGAGACTTAACGTTTGACTGCTCGTGCGAGAAATAGCAATCTCCTTTCTCGAACTGTCACTTTCGCGTAATCCACTTACGATTCGTTTGCGTATCTTTTTAGGGGAACGCATCGAACCACACGAGGTTCCACGAATCGATCAAGGCGCGTTGTTCGAAATAATTAATGAACGCGTCGCGACGCGTGTCGTGAGCGCAAGGGACGAAGGGCGAGTACTGCGTGGCCGTGAAAAAGTGTCTGACTCTACGTCAAAAATTGTAGCACGAGGGCAGGCACGCCAACTGTACCCGTATCTCTGTGTGATCGCGTCACGTTCGCGTAAGCGTCGAGCAACGGTGAAGAAACGGTTGTATTTTTATATCCATCATGTAAAACTCACATCACGAAATTCACTCATTACCGGAGACGATCGAATTTGTGCCTACAGCCTCGCAGAAATGGGCGCACAGCAAGAGACAATTTGCTGAGGGCTCTTTCGTGCGATCGTGCAATTCGGGAGACACGAAAATTCGCGAAGAATACCGCGAGAAGGAGAGAAAGCACGAGTGCATTGCCAAATAAATGAACAACCAGCATCAAGACAGGTGATATCTCTTGATACCTTTATTTAATGTAGCTGACCTCGTGATTATAGCGCGTACGCGACGAACGGAAGCAGATCGAAAATTCTTGCATTTATAAAGGGTATCTCCTACGCAAATACGTTCCTAGAACTCAATCGAGCGGTGACGATCAATAATCGCCGGAACTGAAAGTTAAAAATTAAAAAGACGGCATGCAACTTGCCGCTTGATTTAGCGCCAAGGGAGATGAGGCGTGACATTGTACGTAAAACCTGGCCCGGAACGTCATTGCGAAATCTAAGTAAAGCGGGAAACCAAGAGAAAACCGTCTTCGCAACAGCGATCAAGTTTGAACTCTTCGTTCGTCTCATTCATATTCAGTCAAGATTCGCAAATGAAAATAGAAACAACACTGGAAATCTAACGTTATCTAGTAGACGTAATACGTATCTCGCCGATTACGCTATCTGCTTTAAGCTCTTTGCGAGAGATACCGACGATGTCCAATTAAAGAGCGCGTTATATGCACGCAATTAGGCATCAAACGCGATGCCGATTCTTGTAATCACGAATATCGTTACAAAATTTCACAACAGCATTGTCTGATTTTTCTACGGCAAAGAATGGAAATAACATTTATATTTCGGGCGGCGCTTCAGGTGAAAAGGTGAGTTCGTTGGGAAACTTGCAATCTTGCAGAATCGTCATTCATCGAGGAACTCCTCCATCGGCATCGACTCCTTGCTCGAGGGATCCAGCCGACGATCGAAATGAAATTCACGGGCTCCAAGGTACAATCGGTCGCGTGTAATCGTGGAACGAGCGAGCGCGATCTCGCGCGTGGTCGGAGCATGTGTTGCATAAATCGCGCGTGCACGCGCGCTCAAATGTCATCGATCATGAGACGCGACACTCGATCGCATGCGAGATTCGAGAGTCGCACGGAGGAGGAAGTCGCGCGGGCGAGAGACGACGCGAGATACCTGTCCATGGAGGGCGCGTTCACGCCGGAATCGATAACAGCGAGGAGGGTAGCGCGACGCGAAGAGGGCAGAGGATACGACCCGATGACGACGATCGTGATGCACATCGCAGGTAAATGGGTCGCCCGATACGAAACACACACGCGCTCGCGCGTTCCCCGCGTCCTCGGCTTTCGCCGATAAGCGAGTCACCATTCGGCTACCGTTCGACACTCCGGAACGACTATGAATCGCACTACGTCTTTCTCTTTCTCTCTGTCATGTCGAAGAAGTTGCTGCTTGCCTCACGACTCACCTGTCTACACCTGCGCGTCCGACAGCGCCGGTTCTCCGGAAGCGGCGTCCAGAATCCGCGGCCGCGATTCGGTCCGCGACACTCGCGGACTGTCAAACCGTGCGCTCGCGGTGCGCACCGCGCGGGTAAAGATGGATGAGGGGGTGAAGCGGACAAGAGGACGGTGATAACGGAGATAGAGAAGAGCGGGAAGGGGAGCGCGAGACCGACAGACGGAAGAAGAAAACGCGGCGGAGAGAGAAGAGACACTGGTAGCTGGAGAAAGAGAGGCGAAAGCGGGCGAAACGGATAGGTGTCGTTTCGCGAAAGAGTCTCTGATAAGAGAGCCCGTCCTTATCACGGGAACGCGACGAGAGCTCGAGGAGAGCACACGGCACGCGCGGCTCTCTATCGCGGCGGCATTTTCACTGAGGAAACGGCGGCGAGGGAGCGAGAGAGCTCTTCGTGGCGAGACCCCCCCAGTCGGAGCCCCGTTTTCGTAAACGCTCCTTCTCTCTGCGTATCGGGAGCGACCGGAGCGGCAGACACGCATGCGCTTCTATTCGCGATGGGTGAGCGCGAGCGCGCGTCTCTTATCACGACGGTGCGGGGGTGCAGGTCGCAACCATTCTCCTATCGGCTGTTGTGCGTGAGTGAGAAAGAAACACGGCTTTTCCGTAGGAAGAACAGAGAGGCCATGAGCGCTACAGGGGCGGAGTTAGTTTGTCAGAAACCACGAACTATTAATTACTTTTCTTTTTTAGAGGAGCTCTTTATAATAACATTATTGATATACAATATAGAATATTATTCTTATATTTTTTGCCGCCGTGATTACGATTAGAACAAAATATTATATAAAGCACCAGTGCACTTCCTTTAGTGCATTACCGTCTTCCTTAAAATAAGGCATTACAAATCCTTTCTTATCAGCTTACCTCACTCGGGAAGCTGAGTTAGCAATGAACCTCTTCTCCCCTCCGTCCCTCTTTCTCTTCATACGGCTTTCTTATCTCTACATTTGCCGTAGGGTAGAATATAATGTAGCTTCTTGATGCAACAGAGAAAGAGTCAGAAGAGGAAATTACAGAGTTGTCTGTAGTTGTAGAATTTAATAACGAAAATTGCGCAAATAATTTACTGTAGCAAAGAATTTATTGCGTATATTTTATGTACATTTCCTCCATTTATTCTTGGCTATTAAAGAGATGTATGTACCGCGATAACGATATAATCGGGAATTTATTCTTTATTTTAACTTTACGTATTATTGCTCGCAATAAATCGTTTTCTGTCGCAAACTGCCAATCTTACGGTTCGTTTTTGCTCGTGTCCCTTGAAGAATGCAACAAACCCGTATAGAAGAATGCGAGAATGTGTCTTCTAGAATGGATCGGGCACAGGAATTTTCGGCATCCGGCCTTCCATCATGTCGTTCAGCAGTACACTGATCTCCTAAAAAGAAAATTGTCCTTTTAGTTTGCGACGCGAACGTTTGAAATTAACTGATGTTTCCTTCAATCTCGTGAATTAAATTCGTTAACACAATCGTCCAACAAGTGCATTACAGATTAAGAAATCCATCACCTCTTCTCGCTGCATTCTCAGTCTATCGATAATGGGCTCATTGAAGTTAGGGTCGTTGCTGGGGTCCTCCAGAATGCCTTCGTCACTCTTCGATACTTGCGGTATACGAGATATGTAAATTTGTTTGACGATGTCTAAAGTAGCCGACGGTCTCGTTTGCGGGAATTGCAGATCGATCCGTCCGAATGAATCCGCGCCCGCCGGCATCATTAATGGCTTCTCATAATCGGTGCACTTTTCCTCCCTTGCGTTTCATTGAAAGTGCAGGCACAATGTGGAAATTTATAGCGCATATAACTCACGGGGATCTCATATAAGCGAGCTCGATAAACGTTAGAACCCGCTATAAACCATGCAGAAGTTTCATGGAAAGACTTACGTAAACGGCGAGCCGAATCCATGGTGAGATAATAAATCTTTAATTCGCCGCACGAGGACCTTGTCTTTGGACGAATAATAGTAAAGACTCGCGCCCAAGTTGTGAGCCATCGCCCTCAGCGTCTTGCCGACGAGTTCCTTCTTACCTAAGTCGAATTCCTATTGCACAAATTGATACGGTGAGAAATAATAGCTCTCTCATATTTATGCTACTCATTGTACTGTGAATTCTTAAGTATTTAGAAGAAATAGCTTCTTGGATACATCAAGAGGTGGATTAAACATACCTAAAACATACCTTGAATTCATCGTATCGTCCGCCCACGATACTTATCTTCATGGGAAACGGATCGACTCCACGATCCAGGTCCTTTTTGTTGTCGGCTATCCTTCTTTCTCGCAATTCTTGAACAGTGTTCGCGTCGTAACTCATCTTCAAGCCGCTTCGTATCACCGAGAGGGTCTCCTCGAAGGAAGCCCATAATTCGCCTGGCCGTGATAAATCCAACATCATCAATAAAACAGTGTGATGAGGAGAATGCGTTAGCGTGGATCCCGTCATCGCAACCGACACTAAAGAAGAAGCCAAGTGACCCACTTCCCACACGTGCACTATATTCTTCACCTGCGGTAGCACATTATTGCTATTTATAAGTTTAATTCGATACCGGTTTAGCGGAAGCCTCGGGATAAAATAAACGATGACATTACAGTTTAATTGCGTTAAATATTACGGCCATTGTTTCTGGATTATTTTAAGAGCAAACAAGTCAGCTTTATATAAAAACTACGATCATCTCCGAACGAAACGCAAACTCTATTGTCTATAAATATGTCTCAATCGATAAGTGGGAATCGCATATCACTTACTAGACTTTTTATAGTTTTACGACCGAACGAATAATCCATCGCAATGGTCGGCTTCGGTCTTTCCTCCTTTTCGAGAAATCGATACACCATCGTTGTCTTACCCTAGAAACGCAATCGAAAATATAGAGTGCAGGCAGCGGGAACGCGATACGCTCCTAATTTCGTCACTTACAACTCCCTTGCTGCCAAGGATAATAATGGACCGTTCGTGGGTCTCATTCGGATCAGTCTTTCGCTTGTTCTCCTCCTCGGTGGCGAGTCTTAATGCAGTTTCTCGCATGGACTCCTCACTGTAAAGTCAATTTAATCGATTCGCACTTTGTGAAAAACACGTGAGATAACGTGTGTGCCGCGATAAATAAAGATAGTACAAAAACGATCTATTTATAGAATTCGATCCTTATTGAGGAAGTCACGTCTATAAGTTTCTTTGGAAAGTCACTCACTCGATCATTACCGCGATATTAACCAAAACGATAAGAAATACTCTCCCGCAGGTTATACGTGGTTTTTTAGTGGATTTTCCAGCCATTTTTAATATATTATCAATGTATTATCAATGTATTCAGTATTATTATCATATGACTTTTTTTACAAAGGTAACGAATTAATTATATACACAATAAATTAATCACCGGTTTTCCGCAGACATTTTTTTGGAAAGACGCGAGACGTGCGATATATTACACAAAGACTCGTAGTTGTGTTCACACAATTCTGTCTTTCTTCAGGTTATGGACATGTTTTACTCTTTGTTACCATGGTAACACGTGGGCGCCCATTCATACAATTCCTGCCTGACCGTATATCCGTGGTTTGTGGTAGATACGAATGGCCGACAGAAAGCGTCATACATTATAAAGCTAATCTGTTTTGAACGTAACTTATTTGTGAAACGGGCATCAAATGTGTGTGTGTATGTGTGATAATTGTAATGTTAATAATTATTGCGAGTTCATGTTCTTGTAACATTTGTTTTAATATCCAGTCTTCTTGGATTACAAAGTTCAGTAGGCGTCAGGAAATACTTGTTCAAATAAATAACATCACGCTATTCTCATCTGCGGTCTCATTAGTTCTTTTTATGTTAATGTTCGTAGTACATTATGTAAGATGGTACAAGATACAATAATTTACATCTAAAAATTAATAGTCTTTCTACATAACACGCTTCTCATTCTTCCTTTCGTATGCGCGATGATCTAACGAGAGGTCGTCAGTCTTGATAGAGTGAAATCCACGGAGGATATTCTTTGTAATAATAATCGGCTCCGAGCGCTTTCGCGCGACTTCCCTTGCGTAATATGAAAAACGTGCTTGGAGCCCTACTAAATACGTCTCTGCTGGATCACACGACGTATTTACGCTCTAAATTCGCAAATTCGTTCATGAATTAAAGTACAGTCGATTAGCGCATACCCTCCTCTCGCAATATTATGTACAACTCAGACTAGATGAAGTCAGGAATGAAATGCACGGTACAATCCGCGATATAGACTCAGACGTTTTCTACATTTACACATGCTAGTGTGTAATTATCTCACTTCCTTTTTTTTCTCCCTCTTTTAGAATATTAGATAAAATTTTTACGAACACATTGTCTTTCACGTATAATTAATACCAATTACTAATTGCACATAAAAGTTGCGTTAATATCAGCTATGAAGAATAGTAATCATATATTCTTCCTTTCTGAAGAGAAGACTCTTAGAATGACAAGCAAGCGCGCACCTTTTCGTCATAACCTCTTTGCGCGAGCATACATTTCGCGATTTCGTTCTCGCGACATATTAATTATAATCGCATACGCATAATGAACAATCAAGATAGTCATATTTACTTTACTTTTGATTCACACATTATGTGTCATAAATAACTCAACTATCTGAAACTTTCTTTACGAAAAAAAAAGGAAAGAATATCTTTCCAAGAAACATACAATTACTTCGGAAATAGAAGTTTTAATTGCCTGTTAAATACGGTATCATACAAAAAACTTACAAATTACTATGTTTGGTCCTGCTACAACATCGTGATACATCGAGATATCTGTAAGAGACGATGCTTCATTCGCAAGTGAACAAACGTGACGTTTCTTTCCCTCCGCAACCATGTGTATTAGAAAATAATACTTTCACAAGATACCTACGGACATATTTCTACAGTTCCTATAGTTCATGTATACTTGATAGCAATTTCGTTTGAACACTATAGTCAGCGAAAATACTCGAGAGACGTGTATGGTGGGTCATCTGATGTATCCTAAAAATTGTCGACTGTAACGCTTCGAAAATGTATGTCTTGTGAATTGAACACGAGTTATGTGACTAATGAAATGATGCAATCAACGTTGTCAAAATTAACAAATGAATTCAGTTATGACCAGCGCCTATAAAATTTCTTTTTTCCAAATATTGAATCTGTGATAAATATTCTATCTCGTAGAAACGCGACGTCTGCCTTCAATCACCTCACATTCGATCAAACTAATAAACCATATTTTTGCTAAAGTGTATATGACACATTAATCGACGATCGCATGAATGATCGTACTATAAGGCGATGAGAAACTCTAATTTTGAAAAAAAATCAAATTCAACGCGAACTATTCTTTCTAAATCCCGCCATCATCGAAGACGATCGGACGATAGACGTCAATATCGTATGGTTTATGTTTACGTGTTGGGGATGTGATGAGTTATACAAAGGAAGACGAGTGCATACAGTCACCTTTTCCTATAGTACTTCATTGCTTCTATGATGCAGTATATCACTCGCTCTGCATGTTATCTAGTCCATATGTCGCTCATCCAATTGTCATTTAATTCTTCGCTTGGTAGTACTTTTAGTTTTCTTAAGGCTTCTAAATAGAACGTGAGCTCGGACGTGACCACGCCATGCTGCGGCCCGCCGTTGTTCACGATGTTCATCTTCACCAGTTGCTCCCTAAGCTTCTCCTTGAAGGACGTGTTTACGGTGCGGTAGAGCGATTGTACTTCGACAGTAGGCAAAATTCCGGAGACGGCTTCGTGAAGTTTCATTAGGTAACTATGAACAGAGGATGTAAAAGGATTTGTTAAACAAAACGCCGGAAAAATCTAATACAGCTTTGTCGCCACGTTATTTACCTAGAAATATTTCTGAAAGATTTCGATGGCACCGGAGGTCTCGCTGTCCACTTGGATATTTGGCCGCCTAGTAACTTGTCTACGATAGTGAGAATTTTCCCTTCAATTTCTCGCACATGCGCGCGAATATCTCTCTCAACACTGTCTAACAAAGCCACTCCGCCACTCATACCGGACGAGCCAACGAGTCCTCGGCTAGGATTTTGTTCCATGAGTGCTGTGTATTAAGTATTAGGGGGATCACAATTTAGAAATTAATTCGACGCTGCATTTAATACAAAAAACTACCGTTTGAATCTAATTTATCTTTATATATGGGTGAAACGAAACAGTTCGTTAAATGTTCTAATTATTCAGCAACTTTATACAACAACTTTACTGTCAGCGACAGTATTGTTATCTTTGCTTTATCGTTGCGGTGTTCTTCGTCATATGTTATATTTACACGCAACAATAAACGATACATTACGATAACGACTCTCGTTAAAAGTTACAGTATAATAATATAGTATAATAAATCGTTAAAAGTTACAGTATAATAATACGACGATAACAATGATATTTCGTTACCTTGAAAATGCGCCTTGACGAAAGGCATGAACCACAATATGAGCTTCAGACTTCGCGCCGCCAACACGAGGATCGTGCTGGTGATGGTCTTCAAGCCCGCGACTTGCATCGCGCCCGCGCCGAGAACCAGTTGACAGCATCGCGAATTGTAATGTCTCAACAGTTCGGCGAGTTGTCTTCCTATGGTCCCGGACAAGGCAACCAATTCACTGCCGGTCCTTTAAAGAAAGAGAACCACGCGTTACAATCGCCGCGACGTTCGCAACCGAAACTTCATAATCTGTCTTCACCTGCAATACTCATGTATCATCTGTATGAGCATCAGAGCGGTTCCAACCACGGCGAATTTGTCATCGCCGACGACAATGAAGTTCTCCACGCTGTCGCTGTTCGTGTCGTCCTCGCATGTGAAGATTTTCAGCGGAAAGCACTTTTTCTCGTGTACATATGTTACCAACGATTGAAACTCCAACGGTACGTCAGCCTGCTTCCATCTCTCGGATTCCAGCAATAGCGTCAGTTTGGTCTTTCGTTCGTTATGGAAACGCTGTACAAATTTACTCGCTTGCGCCTGTAAGAATCCACGTCACGGATTACGCACAATGACAATGCAGGAATAAATTTCCTTTTACGTAAGCTAATTTTTTTTCACATAAGTGACTCGCGCGAACGACCTAATTACCTTGAACGCCGAGCGCAACGCTGTGCACTGCTTGCCGCAGAGTTTCTCGCAAGCGTGTGTAAATTCCTCGACCATATTAGCCAATTGGCAAACCTGAGCAGTCGTCGCTCTCTCGCTCAGCCAGGAGCCTTTATCGTTCCACGTTTGATACTCTTTGTCGTCGGATTTGTAACTCTGCGACACGTCGCCGATAACTTTGTCCTTATCGTTGTAAAACTTATCCTTCTCATTTGTGCCCGCTGAAAGCAGATTCCCCATTCGCTCGTGGCAATAATCGCATACAGAAGTAATCATATCAGTGAGTTTGGTGGTTACTCGCGTATGCTCTTCTTGAGTCAGTAAACGATCAGGTATTGATTCATCGAACGAGCCGTCGCATAAACGTCCGGCCGATAAGTCTGCGGTGTCTCTCATTACATCGTGAACTGCCTGAGAAGAATATATTATTATCACATACCGTATATACCGGGTGCGCTCTGTATCTATTGAAAGTTTTCTAGACACGCGGAGATAAGATATTGAGTGGAAAGAAGAGATTTGTTAAGAAGAGAGTTGTTACTACCTCGATAATTGTCATCTTAAAATCACGTAACTTTGAACACTAAAATTGGCACGAATAGAAAAGAAACGTCTCTTATTTGCTATTGATCTCAAGCAAATTGTCCATATCGAAGTTAAAGCGCAGATACACTCCTCCAGAAATTAAAAATTTGACTTAAGAAATAAGCATGTTCAAAGCAAAACAGAGCAGAGACTGCAAACTTTTCGCGTACCTTAACTCGTAATAGAAGATACGTGAAGGACTGTATGGTACTGTGAAGCAGAGTTAATCTCTCTGTTAAAGAGAGACCTCCGACTTCGAGAGCTGCCGCTTGCTGATCGCTGCAACAATCGCTCGCTGCCAGGGCTTCGATCACCCGTTGCTTCGTTAACGCTCTTATGGTAGTAACAGCTTCCTCTTTGTACGTGTCCACAAATTGAAAGTGTTTCTGACGCAGCAGACCGGAAATGATGGACACCAGTTTATCCTGTTCGTTGAGGACGTACAAATGATCTCACTGGGAAGAGATGGTACGAAGTGTTGTTCGCTACGAGCTAAGGATAACAGGTGCGATGCGTGAAAAATCGTGTGCGATACTTACGCCGTCCAGAACAGTGTTCTCGCCGCCCAACGGTCTGTTCAGATCCGCCGTGGCGTATCGTTGAAACTCCGTCGACAACATTTTGTCCACGAGCTTTTCCATTTCGGTCAGTTGCGAACTCAAGTGTCTGAATAACAAGAGTACACGACGAAAGCGTAAACTTTACAAATAGAATAGAACCGTCGAGACATTTGGAGAATGCATATAATGTTCAATTATGCGTAATCTTTTCGGAATTTTCGAATATTTACCTGAAACTATGTATTCCGTTCAGCTCCTGCAGGAGAATCTCTTGTGTCGTAGAAATGAGGTCTAGTGCCGCAACATAGTCCGGCGTAGATAACAGTAACTGTATCATGGGTTGACTTTGATGCACAGTCGCCATAAGTTTCAACTTTTCTTGAACCAGCAACCTGTTAGACCTAGCACGTTCCAAGCTTCACGAAAGAAAGAAGAACTTTATGTTTCTTTAAAATACTCAAATGCATATGTTTTCGAGACGTTTGCACGCTACTTAGGAACTTACCGTAAAATGTCTAAAGAATCCTTGACTAGATGCTGATCGACTTGATGAATATTTTTCCTGAGAGCTTTTAGAACCGTGATTGTTTGAGTGAGTTGTTCCATGAGCGCATCGTGAGATGTCATCGCATGGAAGAAGGCTTGAGATTTGGACGCGACTTGCTCCGCTATTCGGACTTCCACGATGTCCAGGTAGTGACTGAGCTATTATATTTGAAAATATGTCTTATATAATAATGTTATCACAGCAAGATCTAAATTCGTCTGCTTCTTACGTTTCGTATAGTTCGTACCTTCTCTTGCATTTGCTTCACGTGCATAACAATGTTACATTCCTCAGTTAACAGGCCGTCTTTTGCGAACGGAAACACAGCATCAAAATTGTCTTTTTGCGAAAGATCTAAACCTGGCACTAAGAAGATCTTTGGGATACTAGCTAAATCGAATTGCAGCCGATCTGAATAAAAAAATACGTTGCAGTTTTCAGGAGTGATCATACTCTTTGTTTAATAATTCCCAAAATATAGAACTTTGCGACAACAACGACATAAATCGAGGTCACTTTTTCTTGATTATGTACATTAAACAGTATGGAACATTACCTAATGACTTCACCTTCCTAAGATTTGGGAAATTTTGAAGCAGCTCATTCGGAGTAGTTGGTCTATTCGCGTTCGAGTTCATCCGCGAGTGTTTCCGATATCTCTGAAAGAAGAAATGCAAGGTATAAGGCTACCGCTCTCTCTTTCTCTCTCTCTCAAAGCAAGCATATATATGTCGAAGATACCTGCTCATTGAGGAAATATAATTATGTTGATGATTACCCTTGCAATTTTTTTCAAATACATTTCAAAATGCTGCATTGTGACCTCCGGCAGGTAGGGACTCTTCGGAATGTCTACCTTTTCGATGAACCCATCTCCCCAGGTGCGTGTTAGAAAATTGCTCTGCTTGCCCTTGAAAGGATCATTGAGAACGGCAGGTAGATTTTGCGCAGCAGAATATACCGTCCATGTCGAGCTGGCCTCTGATAACTGGCCATTGCTTTTTCGTTGCTGCTGCATAGCTGCGTGCTTGGTGGCATGTGCTATATAATCTTTGTCGGAAACACCTTCCACAGGAAGACTAGTGCATACTCCATTATAGCCATAGAGGCACACGAAGGATCCACCTTCTCTGGAACAATGTTGGTCTCTCAAGTGCCTGAAACAATTTGCAAAAAAGCACAATTAGTCGTGTACAATTAGAGACGTTAATTAGGACGATAGATAGCGATACATGTCCGTTTCTATTCTTGTCTCCTTAATTACACCTCTTTAATCGCTCATTGTCAAATTGACTGTTGTAAACGCTTATCGAAAATTTTACTGGAAAAATTCGTTGACGACAGACGGGAACGATGCGCGACGAAGCGGAGCACGGTGGTAGCCGGACAGATATATTAGACAGATGGACCCACCTAACGAAGTCTTGAATTTGCTTGAACGTCTGGTTAGCACAGTGTTCGCACGTCAAAACCATGGGCACCGTCTCGGAGCCTCTCGCGTTTTTCGCCATTGCCTATGCGTCACCTTTCAGCTCACCATCGTGACGTCGACAGGCGCGTTTCGGAGCACCGTTTCAGCCACGGTGTTCGTGTGCTCCCCCGTTCTCTCCCGTTCTCTCCCGTTCGCACGCACGACTACTTAGCCAGACTTTACACGTCTTCGCTTACAAATACACGTTTCACGAGCTAACACGTTGGCCAACTCAGAAACGAAACCGGTACGGCCAAAGCTACCAACACCGTTCGCGGCACGATATTAATTGCACGTCAGAAAAGATTGATCACTCGTAAACGGAGCGTCCTAAGCTCGTGCGTCGTGCACGACAGTCATCGCATTTCTAACGTGCCGCGTATTTTTGATGAATCATAATTGATATTTCTCATCGAAGTACGAGCGATTCGTCCAAGCATCTCTCTGAACGCGCGTGTCGCAACGTCACGCGCGATACTGAGCTGAATATCGAAGCAGGTCATTAGGCGAAGCAGGTAGTAGGCTTTACAGTTCGACTTGCGCTTTTCAGATGGCGTATGAATGAGAGTTCACAGCTGTCACTTTCCGTTCTATGTTGCATCGATTTTTCTTGCCTACAGGTCGCAGCAAAAGTTACGGCCATGAAGTAAGAGAGAAAGAGGTCGAACTCCATATAACAAAAATGGTCCTGATTCGTGTCTCCCAATTGAAAGAAAATCCGTTGAAAGGAATAACTTTTTGTGGTTGGGCGCCATTTGTAAAGCAATAAGTTAGAGTGAGATAAAATATACTTGTCTCACTCTTACTGCACCAGTTTAGTGGTACAGCTCTTTAGCTTGTTTTAAGATAAGATAATATTAAATAATGTTAAATTGTCTTAACGGCACGCTCGAGTTACTTTTCTATGCATAATATCAATAATTAAATAATAACCGAATAAATTAAATAATAATCGAATAAAGAAATAATAATACTCGAATAGTAATGATAATAATGGCTTGGTTTACATCGTGCACTTGATACGCGTATTAAATAGTAACTTTCTATTAGATAATCTTAATATCGACAATATATATAAACAACGGTATATTAAGCTGGTATAATACTCATCAACAAAACGTATTGTATTGATTGAATGCGTCGCCGTTGATATGCATTGTCGATATTAAGATTATCTAATAGAAAGTTACTATTTAGTAAGCGTATCAAGTGCACGATGTAAACTATGACAATATCTGCTCAACAATATCCGCGAGTGGATAATAACGGAATAATCATGATTAATCATCTACTGTTAGTTGGAATAGATTTATATCATTTCTGTATCATTAACGCTCTTTCTGTTCTTTATTTCCTTAGTTCCTTTATGTACACTCGTCAATAAAATTATCGCATAGATTAATTCATGTCGAAATTTCGCACAATTTTAAATGAGTATAATACCGCGGAACATCGTATTTGAAATCTTTTTGTAATATTTCAAGAGTAAAGTCTGTATTTTAAGGAGCATTAGTCGGATTTTCAATTTATTCTTTTCCCTTTCCGCAGTTTTTTCACAAGTAAAAACGTGTAGCGTCTCTAAAAAAATTGCACAATTTGATGTATCCTACGGGGTGGAATAAATTTTTCCGTAAATTTCATGATACAACTATCGTTAAGTATAGGCTTTCCTCCACAATTAAAAACAAAAGCGAATACGATTTTTTTTCGCACAGTTGCGACATATCAAAGTTAGCTATGCATTTTTTTTAAATCGCTTAATTGACGTATTCTACTGGAATGAATTCTTTTCACAAATCTTACGATAACCATTGTAAAATATGAACGTTTCTTTGCAAATAAGAAAATTAAGAAGAAGTGTGACTTTGTTCCGCGGCATATCAAATGTACCGATGATGAATTTTTAATTAGTTACCGTTAGCATTAACATTACCGATGCGTGCCACGGGGAGATTCTTGTGCATTATGTGTGTGTACGTGTGTGTGTGCTGCACGTGCGTGTGTGTGTGTGTGCACGTCACGTTAACTGATTAAAAATGTATAGGTAACTTTAATGCACCGTACAACATCGCGGAAGAAATGTATATTTCTTCTTTATTTTTCTATTTGTAAGGAACGCTGATATTTTAGAATGATATTTTAGAACGCTGATATTTTAGAATGATTATCAGATTTGTGAAAAGAATTCATTCTACTCAATAGAGTGCGTCAAATGAAGTGATAACAAAAATGTATAAGTAACTTCGATATGTTTTTTGCGAATCCGCTCTTTGTCTTAATTGTAAGGAAAAAACTATACTTTACGATGGTTATAAAATTTACGAAAAAAATTTATTCCATCCCGTAGGATCACATTGTGCAATTTTTTGGAGACGCAACACGTCTTTACTTGTGAAAAGACTGCGAAAAGGGGAGAGAATAATTTCAAAATATCTGATTAATATACTCCTTAAAGTACAGACTTCACTTTTGAAATAAAAAAAAATTTTTTAAATACGATAATGTTTTGCGGTATTATGCTTATTAAAAATTGTACGACATTTCTACATAAACCTATGCGATAATTTTGTTGACGAGTGTATTTTATGTGTAAAAAACATTCCATTTAATGTAAAAATTAGTTAAATAGTAAAAGTACGTACACGTGAGAAGCAACACGCGAGCGTCAAGATATAATAAAAAGGCCTAAGCAGTATTAGCAGTATTAGCTATAGCTATAGGTCGGGAGAGAGACGGCAGTCTGCACTCTTCCACCGCCCGAGCCTAAAGCGCCAAGCGCTATAGTTCGTGACAGGCAGCCCACACGTACACAGTTCTTCGCTTGTGTGCGCTGCGCCGCACGCACTATAGTTACGCGTACTCGGTCCCACATGTGGCAGCTCTGTTTGAAAATGAGAGAACGTAGTTCCACCTAAAAAATGGGTGCAGATGGCGCATCGAACCAGCGTGAAAATCGGTGTCGGCCGAAACGTATGACGTGGCCGCTCTCAGGCTTCTCTCTGACTAAAATAAATAGGTAATAATTTGAATTCTCTTTGCAATTTTGCGCCAGACTACTAAGAATATTTACCTACATTATTCTTTTTGTTTGAAGGTTTCTATACAAATTATCATCTCCTGAAGGACAAATAACAAGGCTGACATTTAAAAAATTAAAAAGAAAACTCTAGAGCCTAATTAATAATCAAGGACTAACAAGAGCCTGTATAGTGTAATTGCTACGATAAACCGTAATCCGTAAGTACGCATTGCGTAACGTATCGATGTGTATACTTAGCATACATTTACTGCTTTGTAATTAAGTAATTTTAATTTTTGTTTAACAGTTTGTAATAAGATGAAATAAGAAGTAGATAATATTAATCACCTGTTCAAGAAAATAAAAATACCTCTTCTTGTCCACTCACCGCTTCTTTAATTTGTCCGCGATACGTTGAGGTCCAAAATAATCACACGAGTTAGATTTTCACTCGCACGATGAACCATGAATAAATCAACGACTTTTGTCGGGAGTTGCTGCAATTTTATTTTCATGTCGTGCCGTTGCACGCAATCGCAATCGCAATTGCATACGAAGTCGTGATTAGAGAAATTTGTTCACGTAGTGCACGAACGCCTTCTGTTGGTGTTTACCACGGCATTATCTCGCGAGATTTTACTTCTGTTTGCCGTATTCCTCGTCCTCGCGTTTATCATCTGTTTTCGTTACATTTTGCACGATATGCACTTTGCATATGCAGTTCCAATCTGAGCTGATATGGATGCATATTTACGCGTGGCGTTTATTCCACAAGTATTCTTTGGTTTAGATCGAAAGATAGGTTTATATTCGTTTATAGTCGAATCAGTTTAATTGACTTGATATTCAGCACGTGTAAAATCGCATCGCAAAAATAAAAATATTCGAAATATCAAAGAGAAAAAATTTCACTTAACAAAGCTGAGTAAATGGCAGTCTGAAAGTATATCCTCCTCACGAGTAAGCAAGAGGAAACAATGAGACGGATGTGACATATATAAGAGCTGTGACATTTTGCGGCCAACACTGGCCGTAAATTTTTTCTTCTGCTTCTTCTTCTTCGGACCGTCACTTCATGTCGACGTCTGACAATAATCCTTATATTTGCATGGGGCCAATTAGCCGGGCGCAGATGTGACACAGTTGATTTAGGATGATGACGAACCCACGTGTTTAAAGTCGGCGATTGTTGTTATCATTCATGTTTGTTCGCGGTGGAGGCGGCGGTGCCGGCACGATTAAATTGAGCTGCAAATTCTGTCGAGTCCTCTCCTGCTGCTGCTGCTGTTGTTGTTGTTGTTGTTGCTGCTGCTGCTGCTGTTGCTGCTGACCTCGACGCACCTCGTGAGCCAGCAACTTTTGACGCTTTTCCTCCATGAGTCGCTCGCGATGCTTGTGTATGTAATCATAGACGTTCGGCAAACCCATAATCACACAGGCCGACAGCGCCGATCTGCATACATTCATATCTGTCGCCTCATACCTACGTTTGGAATCGTGACTTTAAAATGCAACACTTACTATACAAGTTGCACACATAAAATGCAATCAGCAAATTAATATCTCGTGGTCGGCTGAATCGCAAGGAATCGCGCGTATTATATTCACGATATTATTCATACTTCATAGCACACACGTAAAACAGATCGATACAAAGAGTCGGTTACCACTCGTTCGTTTTCTCATCGTAGCATTCCACCTGATATGTCGTAGTTACGCCGTTGAAGCCGCCGATGGCGAAGATCATGTCATCGATGACTTCTATGGCAAAGTTGCTGCGCGGATTATACATATCGGGAATGTGACTCCAGCTGTTAGTGGAAGGCTTATATTTCTCCCCGCTACACATCCTTGATATCCCGTTGAAGCCTCCTTCAACATGATAAAAAATCGTTAATTGCCTAGCGGAATTTGATCTCACGATGAGACGAATGGTAGTAGATAAAAAAAAGAGCTCGGCATTCTTTTTATTCCGCAATTCTTAAATTTTCTAATATTCGCATCTTGCTTGTATTATTTATACTGAAGTGGTTAATAAGAAATAGATTGCTTTTCTCGCGTACGTAAATACATTTAATTTCGATCACACAGGTATCGCAATAGAATTTTTGTGTGAGAAATATGTATCTTAGTACCGATAACGTAAACACAGCCGTGATAAGATATGCACGACACACCGCTCCTACGAAACCTCATTGCGGTTATCATCGTCCACTGATTGGTGTTTGGATCGTACACTTCGGCCGTATTCATGCAGTCATGCCCGTCAAAGCCACCCGTAATATATATTTTATCTGGAGTATGTTGAAAAATCACCAATGTGAGCGTTGCCACGTGTGTTATATAGTAAAATAAGGTCAAAAAATAATTAAAGAATTACGAATTAAAAAATTTCCGAAATTTTAAAGTTTTCTAAATTAAAGAATTTCTTAAATAAGATAATTTAAGAATCTTAATATATATTTACACGGCATTGTGAGGATAAAGCAGTACCGTTCAAAGTAGTCGCACTAGCGTCAGATCTCCGTACGTTCATCGGCGCAATAAGAGACCATTGATTTGTTTTGTAGTTGTAACGTTCCGCCGTATTTTGCCGATCGTATCCGTCGTATCCTCCCATCGCGTAAACCAGATTATTCAAAACCGCGACGCTAACGTAACACCTACAACGAACGAAAGCACGAGCTGATACGAACTGTCGTTATCAGTGACATTATCAACGAGCTAGTCACTGAACTTCTGTTTCTTCATCTTTTCCTTTTTTCATCTTCCTTTAAGGAAAAACCGTCACCTTGTCATTAAATCGGGCAATGAGATTAAGACTGATCGAATCGGATCAGTGACTAGCCACTCTGAAATATATTCGACCTTCTGGCGTTCATAGGAGCAACCTCTCGCCACACCTTGGTCACCGCGTTGAAGCAACGGCAGCTGTTAAAGTAATCGATCCCGTCGAAGCCACCCATCATATAAATGTCGAAACCAACTACCGCGAGTCCATGATAAGCACGCGGACCGGCCGGATCCGTTTCCTCGATCTACGAGATATAAGATTCCAAGAAATTAAAATAAGAAATTGAATCAAAATTATCAGATATTTAATCATTAAAAATTATTAATTTTGGCCAAGAAATTGAAATATAACAAATTAAATATAAGAAATTTCCAATATGGACATAGAAAGAAATAAAAATTAATAACTTCTATGGATATTGAAAACGTGCTAAAAACGAATCACTTGTCTACAAAGTATCAGCAATACTACCGGAATCCACCGATCCGCTCTGGTGTCGTACGTCTCGATGTAATTTGTCGGCGAGCCGCCTCTCCACCCACCGATAGCAAAAAGAATCTCATTCGGGACTCGAGGTCGCGCAATCTCCGGCGTTGGAACCTCCCCGTCTTTCTGCGTGATCATCTCCAGGTCGTAAAGGAACTTGAGAGTTTCGATAATGATCGGTCTGCATGCGTCGTTGCCCAGGACATACGGATGATCCTTGACGTTCTCCAAGAAGAACTGTGTGTCCAAAAGACCGAGTCTAATGTTCCGCATCAGATCGACTATATGATCCTTCCTGGACTCTGGATCGTAATTTATCCACCTCAGCACCAGTTCCCAGACCGTCTGTTCGCTCTTCACATTCAGTTCGTCCGCGCCGACTAATGATCGCAGCTCTTCTATGGGTAAATGCAAGATCTCCTCGCTCCTCTGAGATATCTAATATAAATTGAAGAGATTGCAGAAAGGATACGAGCGACATGCGCAAGCGAATAAATATATCACCGTACAAACCGCACCTCCACGAAGTGGCCCATGATGAAACGGTAAACGTCGTTCTCCAGCTTCTTGCAAAAGTGTTCACGGGCGAATCTCATCATGCCGATGCAATTTTCTGGCGCCAAATTATCTCTCAGATAATCGCAGCACAGATCGACTACGCCCGGAATATTCAGGTAATCCGCCGTGGTCAATAACTCGCACACGTTCTCGCGATTTATGTCAATTGATCGCAGGTATGCATATTCGAGCAGAAGAGTCATCACTAGGCTCGTCACGCCCGGCAAAAGGACGTCAGTTTTCTCACGAGAGTGCAACGTTGTCGTGAATAGAGTCCTGCAAGATCGATCGAGCTAGAAGTGTCATAACGATCAACGCAATTTATTTCGCCAAATTTATTTCAAAATATTATTAAACATTTAGAATTATTGGATAGTTATTGCTCTGAGATAATTACGATGACGATGAGAAATATGTCTAAGTCTGTAAATGTCTTAAAGTTAAACCTGAAATAAGTACTGCACGCTGAAAGTATAGCCCGGTGAATCGGAAAGACACCGCCGTCCTCCAGTCGCAAGATCGCGTCGCAAAGCAGATTGTTCTGTCGGAAATCGTAGAGCGATTGCATGGCCTGCGTGCTCATACAACGGCCTCCACTCTCGGCTATTAAACGCTGGCTGTTCGTGTCGCATTTTGTGTCGGTTTTTTTCTTACTAGTGCTGACTTCTATATCCATATCAAAACTCGAAGAATAGGCGCGAGTTTGCAATCACGCGATGACAGCACGATACACCGTGAATTACAGCATTAAGATGTATATTGGTTTATAAGTGACTTCTTCGAATCTCTGCTAAGAAAAAAGAAAGAAATAACGAATAATATTTTTGCAGATTTTGAACTCATAGAAGCTCTGAAACATCGTACAAGATTAAAAATAATGATGTCAAATTCATTATTACAACGTTAAATTATGATATATATTAAAAATTTCATATTACAATATCCTACAATTTTATATTGATTAGATATAAATAATAGAGAGGGAACACATAATTATAAATATAATCTAATTTTTCCGATAGTTTATCTATGTTAAATTATTATTTTGTATTGTATTGTCAAAAAATTATATACACTTTGCATTTAATAATTTTTATTTTGTACTTACCGAGTGAGAGTAATTATTTCCTGAGAATTTAGAATCACTCGGAAAAGGTAGAACTTATTTTTAAGGTTAGAACGTATTGATCTTGGTGTGGTTTAATTTCTGCAATTCGCGACTTGATGATTTTCCGAGCAAGGACGAAGACGTGGTTAAAATAAAGTTCTGTTCGCGATCAATTACTGAGGATAATCGAGAACGGCTGAAACGCGCCACTGCGTGTCAGTTTCATACGTGCTGGAATTTAGAATATGTCAAAATTTTGACACGTGGGCCGAGGGATCGAAGGCCGAAGGCCGGTTGCACCGGGGGAACGTAGGAGGGCGTGAAGGGGAATGGAAGCAATGAGAGGATTGTAAGCAGGATACAAACTATTTTGTGTGATTTTTAAAAAGCGAATAAACGTCGCGTTTGGCTGACATGTGGTCTTACATGTCCGCCGTTAAGTCGGAAACTGCTGCTTGACAAAAGAGATCTTGCTGTTCCTGCTTCATAATACGGGTGCTTGACGCAGATATTAATATTGCGTCGATTTATTTAAAAAAAGCGTTATAAAAACATAAATTATGATCAGGTGTAAAATACGCCAATTTCGATTAAGTCGTACAGTTTTGATAAGAGAGAAACAACAGAAAGAGAATCAGGATATTTTCCATTATTACAAATCCGTACGTACAACGAGTTCGCGAAGCATTCTATCAATAATTTTCAGTATTTTCTTACTGATTTGTCGCTTTAATTATGTTGGATTTAAGGTGCATGAGTTTTTGTTCTATAAAATCTAACCCAACTTAATCTATCTCATTCATATCCAACTTTCTTCACATAAAACACTCTGTAACTTATTGATATTCATTCGATCTATATATTCTACTTTACAATATTATGTTTGTTATATTAATTCATTGTCTATTAATTTAATCGCTAGAAAGAATCTCCGTGGAAGAGTATTATTTTTCTTTCTCGTACGAGTCATTTGATTGCATTGACACGTTGAACACGCTCGTGGCCGAAGTAATAGCGTCAGGTATTACCTAGCTTCGAAACATTGAATACGCGTTGCGAATTACATGTGCACGTAGTTATGACCGATTCGACGTTGCACCAGTCCTTTTGCTTTTGCTCGTCGACGAGCTGCTCATCCTCCTCGAGCTCTTCGTCGTTCCTCGACTCTATCTTCCTCTTTTCCCAACTCTCGGACGCGTTCCTCTGCTCCAATACGTCGTGCTTGCAATCCGATCGTCTGCAATTGTGCAGCAGGCAGGCGCTGTTGTCAGGCATCAATCCGCTGATGGACAACATAGAAGCGGTGGAATATGACGCGGCGAAACCGTTTCCTCTCGAAATACCGTCGAAGAACGCGTTCCATTTGCTGGCGAAGGATTCGTAGCCTTTCGTCGTTCGATTTCTCGGTTCTTTGCTCGAAGTCAGGCTGTTCTCCTCCTTCTTCGGCGCCTCACTCGGCTGTTCGCCGAATAGTCTAAACGTCCACGTGACCACAGTGAAGGTCGCCGCGTTCGTCGGAAAAGCGCGAAGGATCGTCGAGTTTAAGCCGCGGAACAAGCAGGTGTATCCTTCGGCGCGCACGGACTTCCTCAGGCAATCCCAAGCGCTCGAGTAACGATTGCCACTCTCCGCCTGAATGCGCGACTTGATCACGTCCACGGGATAGGAGATCACCCAGGAAGCGCTACCGGCGAGGCCGCCCGCGACCAGCATGTGAAACGTCGAAATCGGCTGTTTCGAGGAAGTCCTTGTCAGTACCTCGTATGTCACAAAGTACACGCCGTAACTCGGACCTTCTCTGAGAAACGTGATGCCGAGGCCCTTGAAAACTCCTCGACAGCCCTCCCGTCGGTAAATCTTTTTCAAACATTGCATTGGTCCCTGCGAGTTACCCCGGGTTGAGGACTGCAACTGCAATCGTGTTTTTGCTAACTCTATTGGACTAGAGACCGGAGTCTGAGCGAGCCCGGCGGAAGCGCCAGCCAGGAAGCACGTCGACAGTCGATCGGGCTCGGACAAGTGTCGCTGAGTGTGCCCATACACGCCGAAGACGATGGCATTCACCGCTGCAACCCCTGCGATAGGAGAGGTCATACCTCTGTAGAGACCAGTCAACTATGACATAAAAATACATGTCAACATGTCGTGTGATTTATGACATTGCGATCGAACTGTTCTCGTAATTTTGATAATTTTATTAGTTGTATGCAACATTTTAGTCTCACGAAACAAAAGTTCTTGAAATGAATGATAGCAGCTGCGAATATATCGATTTTATTTGCTTTTCTATATGAAACGTAAGTAATCTCTCTTTAAATACCGATTCTCTCGCGAGTATGGTGCGCAGACAGTCCCAGGTGCCCCGATATTTCGGATTGCGACTATCCTGCGTCTGCATGTGAACCTTGACCGTGTCCAAGGGATATCCCACAATAATACCGGCACATCCTGATATTTAAAAAAAGGCTTCATTATATCGAGATAAAAGTTCTTTCATGAGAGCTCTATGATACATATAACATAATAATTATCGGAAAAAGGTGAGTCATGATTTCGCCATTAAACTTTAAAAATGATACGAACATTAACTGTATTTATTGCTTTCGTATCGGAAATTTTACAAGAACGAAGATATTTGTGGTGTCATATTTCCACATACGTTACTTCTGACCTGTGATAACCATATCACGCCATAAAGTGACTTTTAAAATAGCTTCTCGCGTATCATGGAGGAACCGACGATAACTAAAGCGAGTTTAAATCTTAAATAAATTGTCTGTATCTGTTTATCGAACAAACACTCAAAATTTCGTCAACAACGGTGATATGTCGATAACGACAGTTACTTCAATTTTTAGTTACTTCAAGTTACTTCAAGTTACTTGAGTAGAAGCGCGATTCAAAGAATAGAATTTAAATTGAATGCGTAGAAAGTCAATTTTCACGATAACACTCTACCTCCCAAGCATCCGGCGAAAAAATCGAGCATCATGTTTGGCCTGTGTTATCTGCAACGCTTTTCCACTTGCAGAACCGTCTGCTTCTGTAGGGACTGCTCTCGACTCGCGTTCCTCTCAGACATGCATCAGAAGCGGTGCAAATAGCAGATCGGTTAATCGCAGCGGGTGATAAATTCGAATCCATGTAAAATCGATCGCAGATTCTCTTGAATTAATCCTCAGGTATACGACTGAGTAACATTCGCTTGTTCCTGCAAAATAATAAATTCCCAATAAGAAGGTGTTACTTAAAGAGAAACATAGGTTGCGTTTAGACGGTACGCTATCAACGCGTCATTTTATTCTTGTTGCATAAAAAGTGATAAAAATAAACGCGTTAGCGTTAATAGCGCGCTCCCCGAACGCACCCACAGAAGTCAACTGCAGTGTATTACAGAAACGTTATCGTCGTCGATTTGAATATTATTTTATATCACTGCACTATCAGATCTGTCAAAACTAACAGACTCGAAAGATTGTATTTAGGAGAACAGTTAACTTTTAACTGAACGGACGTCGAACGAATCGAAAAATAGTTTCTTTGGTGCCATGTTTCACATTTCACTTCAGCACCTTTTCATGATTTGGAAGACCTGGTATTCTTCTGTGATAGTATCACTTCACTAAACTTCCTTCCTTACTAAATCACATCATCAAACAATATTTATCAAATTCCATTATCACCGAACACGTCACGTAAAATAAATAGTGACAATCATTTCTTCCTAACTCGACAATTTCTTACCGAAAATCCGGACAAAATAGGCCGCGTGTTTCCCTCGTTGAATCTTCTTTCTTACTGAAATCAGGGTTTCTACCAACTTCCTCGAGCCTCGGTACAAAGATCACCAGCTGCATTATCAAATCACATATATATCGTGTGTGCTGACGTATACACGCAAATACTATCGTGACAGTGCGCAATATATTGCAAAGAAAAAGAAATATTAATAACATTTCTACATCTCGCGCCACGACCTACTGCCGTGACCGGGCGAAGCGCGGGTCAAACATTTCACGATAAGATTGATGGCGCTTCGGTACATTACGTACAGTACGAGGTATTCCATTTTACTAGTGCATATACTACGTATATATATGCCTGAAGCATTTCGTATACGCCTATTTTATACGAAATTATATTGCCAAATAGTTATGCAACGACAAGCTGTTGGTACATGTGCTGAATACAGCTTCAGATCAATAGCGCAAAAATGCCGACATAAAGCATTCCCGCTGTACAAGGGAAGAGAAATGGAGGAGCATCGTTATATCGAGGTCGCTCCGACTCAATTAAATTAAATTCCTCTCGATGAACGGGAGAATACGACAAATAGAAATATGAGGTGCAGGCACGAGGAATATCCGCAAAAAAATGTCAGGAAAAGCTAATATCCGCGTCTCTCATGATAAAAATATATTGAAATATCGTGCATTCGCAAAAACGAGAGAAATGTTGGAAGAAATGTCTGGGCGTTTCAATTATTTTGTGTTATTAAAAAATGTTGATAACGTTTGGAATTAATCATTATAATTTCACTTTTCACTTCACTTCACTTTTCACTTCACTTTTCTTGAACACGCATAATCATATAGCTTAGCCAACTTTGCAATTTTATAACTTATTTGTAATAATATTTATAAAATAGGATTGTCGTTTGATGTTGTTTATTGTACATTTTTCTTATATGACATTTGGCGCGATATTTGTACATGCACACGAATATAAAACGAATACTTTTTCACGAACTTCGAGTTTATATTATAAACTCTTTAGTGTTATCGGCCATTAACGTTGCGATAACTTCCCGCGACCCTTCTTCACTTATTTCCTTACGCGCTTGCGCTAAACATCATTTATATTTTCTATATCTGTATGGGCTGCTTTTCCACCAAATGTCTTATTAAAACCGTTCAACACATCGTGCGTAACAGCAGTTCATCGTTGCAGCATCTCCAAATAGCAAGGCTAACTCATTTCGTTCAATTGCACGTGAGTTCACGGATACGATGATGCAAAGAACTCTACAAACGGCAGAAAAATTTGAAAAGGAAGAACATACATTTGACCGTATAATCCCAGACACGGTAAGACAAAGTGTTATAGAAGAATATAATAAAAACGTATTTATTAATTTTTTTATTAAAACTTACTTTCTTAATTGTATTATAACTTCAATTAGAAACATAAATTTTGACTGTGACTTTGCCTATTTTTTGACGATTTCTCTACACACAAACGACCCATTATCGTTGAAAATTATTCATTTGTCAGTTAGGTTATTCGTCTGTTTTCGGTGTGAGTATCGAGACCCATCCTCTTGTGCAATGGGACAATTTTTTCATTAGACAAGACAGATGTGTTCCGGAAAAGTATCCATTTCCGATTGCACCTGCAACCATAATAAATATTGTAGAATCTATTGAGTAAAGGGAGAAAATAAATGGGAAAATACAACTCTCAAGTGTTAAAAACTAATCAGCTCGTTCTTTGTGACCAGAATATATATATATATATATATATATATATATATATATATATTCATATTGTTTATATTAGGTGTACAATTTTGCTTCCGCCGTTTTTTTCCAAAATTCGAGGCTTTATTGTAAAAAACTATGGTTATATATTTATGATTCAAAATAATGTCCATCGCTGGCCACTACTTTCTCCCATCTTTCGGGCAGCGTACGAATCCCGCGTCGAAAAAACTGGTCATCTTTTGAGGCGATCCACGAATCGAACCAATTTTTTACTTCTTCATAAGACTGAAAGTGCTGATCAGCCAGGCCGTGTGCCATTGATCGAAACAAGTGATAGTCAGAGGGAGCAACGTCTGGAGAATATAGCGGGTGGGGTAAAACTTCCCATTTCAACGTTTCCAAGTATGTCTTGACCACTTTCGCAACATGGGGTCGAGCATTGTCATGCTGCAAAATCACTTTATCGTGTCTTTCGTTATATTGCGGCCGTTTGTCTTTCAATGCTCGGCTCAAACGCATCAATTGCGTCCGATACCGGTCGCCTGTGATTGTTTCAATCGGTTTTAACAGCTCATAATACACTACGCCGAGCTGGTCCCACCAAATACAGAGCATGACTTTGGAGCCGTGAATATTCGGTTTGGCCGTCGACGTGGAAACATGACCGGGAACTTCCCATGATTTTTTGCGCTTGGGGTTATCGTAATGAACCCATTTTTCGTCTCCAGTCACAATGCGATGCAGAAATCCCTTCCGTCTTTGCCTTTCAAGCAGCTGTTCACAAGCAAACAAACACCGTTCAACATCTCTCGGCTTCAATTTGTACGGCACCCAATTTCCATGCTTCTGAAT